AGTAGCCTGAGTAGGCAGTATTGAGGATGGCCATTTCACCCCTGCCAGGCTGCCATGGAGGAGAAAGTTAAAAGTTTGACAGCAGGACCAGAGGCGGCAGCAGCTGCAGTTGAGATGGATGAGATTGTGAAACTTGTCGAGGACAAAACCAAGGAGAAGAGCTTGGAAGCTGAAGATAAGGCACGCAGAAGCAAGAACTTGATTGTTTTTGGTATACCCAAACCCACAGATGGTGATGAACAAAAAAGGAAGAGGGACGACATCAAGGAGTCTGAGAGGATACTGGCTGAAGTGGGCAGCACCCAGAAGCCACGTGAAATAAGGCGCCTTGGAAACTTCAGAGAAGGGGCTGAGAGACCTAGGCCTCTACGTCTATCTTTCGCCACCCAGTCAGACAGGGATGAGGTAATGCAAGCCATTTTCAAGATAAAAAATGAGGCTGATGATATTCACCGGGATGATATTCTTTGCATGAAGATAAGTGCAAGGAAAGACTTGACCCCTACGAAGAGGAAAGAAGAAGTACTGTTCAAGGAAATGAAAGAGAAACAAGAACAATCATGAGCAGCGAGGGACGACATTGCCAAGTGGGTGAGGAAAAACGGCAAGGTGGTCAACGTGGGCAAATACCCACTACAACACTAAAAGTGAACAAAGCCAACAAAACTTTATCAGCACATAGTTTTAACCGTACAAGCACTTTTTCTACTAACACAAACAAAACTGTAAATGCATTCAATGTTTTTAAACCATTGGACTCAGTCGTGTGTCCATACACAAATGCACACAGCTTGGTGAACAAGCGTAATGAACTAGATGCCCTCATAGACATTCACCGACCATCTGTGGTTGGAATAGTTGAGGTGAAACCAGAGAACCAGCGTTTCAACGTTCAAAAATGTAAAATTGCCCTTCCAGGATTTGAAAGTTATTACAATTTGGAAAGCAAAGGAAGAGGAATCTGCCTGCACGTCAAAAGTGAGCTTAACCCCTCATGCAAAGACGTGAAAACTGACTTTGAGGAGTGCATGTTTGTCAACTGTAAACTCAGCAATAGCGAAACCTGGACCATAGGCCTTGTTTACCTGAGCCCCAGTGGCTCAGAAGACAACAACCAGAACATGAACCAACTACTGAGAACAGTGACAGAGGCTAAACCCCAGCACCTGCTTCTACTAGGCGACTTCAATTTTCCAGAAATAGACAGGGAGAAAGAATTAAGCAGAGCAAGCACAAACCACCCTGCCAGCAAGTTTCTCACTGTGATTAAGGACAAATACCTTATCCAGCACCAGAGAGAGCCAACTAGGCTCAGAGACGGCCAGTGCCCAACGCTAGACGACTTGGTATTGACAAACTGGCAGGACGTGTAAACAAGATAACCACAGCCTCAGCACTTGGTAAAAGCGATCACGCCACACTCCTCATCAACGTCGCCTGCAACTATCAAAAACCGAAAAAGCAAGAGCGACCAAACTTTCTCAAAGCAGACTACAGCAGGATGGGAGAGGACCTCAATCATGTTATCTGGGATGAGGGAGAGAAGGATGTAAACGAGGCATGGACTGCCTTCAGGAGGCTCCTGGAAAACTTGATCAAGAGATTTGTACCGAAAGTCCGAAACTCAGAGGTACAGAAGAAGAAATTGCTTGACTGTGGAACCTTGACCTTTGTCCGCAAGAAACACAAGTTGTACCGGCGTTGGCTGCAGACCCAAGCAGGCGAGGACTACACAGCATAGTACGCCAAAGCCATAAACCAAGCAGCAAGAGCATGCTGTACTGCCAAGCAAAAACTAGAGGCAACCATCGCAGCCCAGGCAAAAAATCACCCCAAGTCTTTTTGGTCGTATGTTGAAGCCAAAAAAAAGACAAGATCAGGCATTGCAGACTTGAGAAAAGAGGATAGATCAAAGACCACTTCAGACAAAGAGAAGGCAGACCTCTTGAATAATTTTTTTCAAAGCGTCTTTACAGAGGAGAAAGGAGGTGACCTGCCTGACATGTCTGAGTACACCTACGACAGGAAGCTGTCAGATCTCCAGATTACAGAGGAGGCAGTGAGGAAGCAGTTGGCGAGCTTGAAGAAGGACAAAGCCCCAGGCCCTGATGGCATCAGCCCCAGTCTGCTTGCTGAACCTCTTGCCAAGCCCATCGCCATCATTTTTAGGAAGTCCCTGGAGTCCAGCACCATAGCCGCAGACTGGAGAACCGCCAACGTGACCCCCATCTTCAAAAAAGGTAGTCGCCTTCTAGCCAGCAACTACAGACCCATCAGTTTGACCTGCATTTTATGCAAGTGCATGGAGACCCTCGTCAGGCAGATCGTCGACCACCAGCAGCGCAACAGCCTGATCAGCAGAAAGCAGCACGGCCACACCAAGGGGTGCCGCATAGTGGCAAAGCAGAGAGTTTTTTAGACTCGCCTTCAAGTTCATTTTTGAGTCCTATAAGTAGACCAGCAAAGTATCATGGATACCAGCTTTATCTTACTTGAGAAATTGGTTTAAATCTTGAGTAAATGAGGAAATTAAAAATGAATTGATTCTAAAAAAGGTCGGGTTTGCCACTATGAGGGCGGTCTTGTGTCACCCAGCTCCTTGAGACCCTAGACAACTGGACTGAGGCCCTAGACAAAGGAGGATCCATCGACGCGGTCTACATGGACTACATGAAAGCGTTTGACAGTGCGGCACATACGACTTGTAGCGAAGGTGCAGGCTCATTGCATCAAGGGGAGAGTACTCCAGTGGGTCAGAGATTTTTTGGCAAACCGTACCCAGCGAGTCATTGTGAATGGCGTGTCGTCAAGTCCAGCAGATGTACGGAGCGGTATTCCGCAGGGAAGCTATTTAGGGCCCATTTGTTTTGTGATGTACATCAACGATCTACCGCGCCATGTCCAGAGCCACATCAAGCTCTTTGCAGATGATACGAAGATCTTCGCCTGCAGTGACATCCCAGAAGCAAGAAAAACCCTGCAGGAGGACCTGGACAGACTCCACAAGTGGTCTATGGACTGGCAACTGCGCTTCCACCCTGAAAAGTGCAACCTGCTTTGCCTTGGATACGCCAGCAACACCGTGTAGTACACCATGAGAGGCTACAATGCTCAAGGCAAAGAGTACGTGACCCCACTGAAGGAAATCAACACCAAAAAAGATCTGAGAGTAGTGATCGACAGGGACCTGAGCTTCACAGGCCAAGTAGCGCAACTGCGCAAGCAACAGCTAAGGCGAACAGAGTACTGGGTGTTATAAGGCAAACCTTTGACTTCATCACGCCTGGGAATTCATAGTGGCAAAGCAGAGAGTTTTTTAGACTCTCCCTCAAGCTCAAGTTCATTTCTGAGTCCTACCTATTAGTAGACCAGTAAAGTATCCTGGATACCAACATTATCATACATAAGAAATTGGTTTAAATCTTAGGTAAATGAGGAAATTAAAAATGAACCGATTCTAAAAAATCTCTGGTTCGTCACTATGCCTGGGATCTTCATCCAGCTCTACAAATCCCTCATTCGACTGATGCTTGCGTATGGCCTGGCCACAGAGTCTGGCAGCCAAGGCACAAGACTCTGTGCTCCGACCTGGAGGACGTTCAGAGGAGGGCACCCGGCAACCAAGCTTATCGCAGGCCTCAAGGGCAAGCAGTACCCAGAACGCCTCACCTCGCTCGGTCTACCCAGCTTGGGGCACAGAAGACTAAGAGGGGACATGATCGACGTTTTCAACTACGTCCACAGCACCTACAAAGCTGACCGCCCCCAGCTGCACGGTGAGCACTGAGCACCTTCATGACTGCAAAGATACCCACAGGAACAGCCTGAAACTCGCCAAGGGCCACTGCAGACTGAACATCAGAGCCGGCTACTTCTCCCACCAAGTCATGTCAATATGGAACAGCCTGCTGCTGCCGGACAGCGTCGTCACTTCCAGTTCCCCCTCTATCAACGCCTTCGAGATCAGGCTCGACAAGCACTGGGCAACACGCAGGGAACTGTACGACCCCAAATGCTGTCATTAGCTCCCCTTTTGGCACTTCTAGACTAACTGCTAGCCATGCATGTGACAAATAGTCAAGAAGCAAGCCAACCAGACCAAATAGTCAAGAATTAACCCCCCAACCAGGCGTGGTGAACAGGCCGGAAGGCCTTTTACACTGAACTTATCAAGTATCAAGTAAGTAATGAACTGATCAGAATCAGAGTCTTTGTTATTAAAGGACACAGATGAATGGCTAGTTCGTTTTTCCACGTTTCAGGCCATCAGCCATCTTAATATTAAATGTACTAAAAGGTACCTACTAGAAATGTTGTAATCCAGTTACGAATTGCATAGACTATATAGCGTAACTATAAAGCGTAATATTCTGTAACTCAGATTCTCAGAAGTCCGTCTGCACCTGATCTCCACGGTGGCTCACTCTTTCCCACTAGCCCTCATCATCGGCCTCATCATCATGGCATCTGCCTTTTTGTCTTGAATTCCCCAGATTTCTTGCTTCCTTTGCTGCGGACGTCAAACAACATCAAATCCGAGAAATCTTATTTTGCGGTGACATTTGGGCTGCAATGTCGTGCTGTTGTTGAGTAATCGTCGTTAAAAGTACCCAAATACACTGCCGCCAATCTACTCCCGGAACAACAGTTAGGCGTTTGCTAATGCAGGTATACAAGCTATCAACCCAAGAATAGTGAAAAATCACGGAAAGGTATTTAGCTTTTTTACGTAAGGGGAAGGGATGAAAAAGAGACAAGTCCTTAAACGTCGCGTGTCTTAATCTCAGCGTTAATTGCAACCTGTTAGGCATATTTTTTTCTTCAGAGGATTCAAATTTAAACCCCCCACCTATGTATTTTCAACCCACTAAATCGAAATAACCAAGAGAACCTAGTGAATTGTCGATGAAGCCATGAAAACCTACCCAACTAAGGGAATACATGCAGAATTAACATGATATAAGCAAAAAAAAAAAAAAACAGGATGAATTCAATAAAAATTCTCATTCACATCATCGCGATTGCGTTTTTTTTTTCTCGACAAGCACATGAAGTGTAGTTTTAGTAGTCAAACTACAAAATAACAAATTCATACACTGAGTATCTTCAGCGAAATAAATTGCACGACTTCTCATTCATTATGTTCATTCAGTAAATTGAATGAAACGGAACAAATAAAGCACGAAAACATGAAGGAAAACGTGAAAAATGGGTCAGAAAGCCTTGAGCTTAAAAAAATTAATACATATCGATGAGTGGGAACATCCATTCTTCAATCAATTCCATTACCACTACAAAACAATGAACCAAATACAGTTGATAGAAAATATATTGTCCAATTTTACAGACCTATCATTCTTACGAATAATTCAAATCTATGTATAATAGAAATAATGAACGGAAAATAAGAAAATCAGTACAAAGACTTGTAGTCTTGTACTAAACGAAAAATATGATAGTAACATTCTCGAATTGGAGCGAACATTTAGGGCAGTAAAACGGAATGAACAATGTTTAACACTGTTAAAACGAGGGCAATTTCAAATAGTAAACACATTCTTTGGTATGACTACGAAATGAATGTAATTTACAAATTCCGTAAAATACCACTTTATAATGAAATGTTAAACTAAACTTCAATCCTAGTTACATATTAAATTAAAACAAGATCTGCAATGAGAAGAATCTGGTTTGTTTAATCTCATCCGAAGGTTCTGTCCATAAACGAGATCAAGTTTATTGTTGTCGTTTGTTGCGTCAAGAGGCTCAGGCAAGTCGAGCAGTACATGTTTCATTGGGCAGAGAATTACTCTTTACAACTTTAATTCAAGTCTTTCACAATCTGGTTCACGCAGGACACTTCGTGCTCCGAAGGAGCCGACGCATTAACCCTGCACTTGTAACAGTGACGTCCTCTATTCTAATTGGCTTTGCAGCGAGGTTCGTCCATATCAACCGCTGTAAAGCCAGAACAGTACTTATGCAGAGAGGCACTTTGTGACTTTTTATAGCCGTTCTTGCGCAGTTCTTCTTCTTTGCTGTTGACCACAGCCTTGAGAAGCTGCTCGAATTGAGCGTTACTCATCCATTTCTTTACGAGACACAACACGTGTACGTCTCCCATAGAACAGACTCTGACAGCCTTCACCATGATAGCTGCGGACTTCCTGTTGATAAGACGACCTGTGACGACACAACTGAACTTACCAAAGAACGGCACCATACCAATACTGAGCCATATGACCATAGCAAAGCTCCACAGCCAGTGCAGGGCAAGCACAAACCACGTAATGATGAAAATCTTCTCGTAGAGCTCCATGAGGGTTAAATGACAGCCAAAGTTGATCTCAATTCCATTAACTATTATTTTGTGAGCCGCGCTGATCTGGCACTTGGTAAATGGTGGGAAGATGATGGATAGCTTATCAGTGAAGTTTGCGGGGTTGCGCTCCAGGCCATGAAGCACATTGGGCACAAGCAACACGAATTCGCCCTGCAAATAGAGTTGAGTCGACACATTCTTAGAGGCAGCAGCAGATGATCAATTTTCGATAGCAACTATTTCTTATTAGCAACAAGTTAACCAAGAGCAAGAACATCGAATGAATTTTGAGTATGGGAATATATTGTTTACCTGCAGGACGAATTGGAAAACAAGGACAGCCACAAGGTCGACGAGGTTAGCGAAGACATGGCACAAAATCCAGCGAACGTAATGGCTTGATACCGACTGTCCAGTCTGCAGATACTGAACCACGAGATGGTTGGTGTTTTCCCATCCTCCGATAACATACCTGATGAGCGTAAAAAAGGTACACACAGAAGCAGTAATAATCTTGTACTATTGAGCACTTGGCAATGCAACTCGAGGCAAGTAACAAGCAAGTATTTGAAGGCGTACTAGCACATCCAGCATTAACGAGCACAACTTGATCTTTGGTGAGAACATTTCAGTAATTTTCCACGTTTTCCTTTTGATTGAATTTAATCGATTTGAGATCTTATATCCTTCACTATGTAATAAAATAACTAACGATTATAGTCTACAGTTGCACAATATAGTGAATTGATTCATGAAAATTTTTTAATTAATTACCTTCGGTATAGATACAAGGAGCAGACCTGAGTATCTAATTGGCAGACATTATAAAACAAAAAGCGAGAGGCTCGGGAGTTGAATGCAGTAGAGCACTTATCTGCGCTATCTAAATCATGACAATATCAATTACAGGAACATTTGGGTCTAACTAGTATATATAATATACGTTTAAAAATTACTTTTTAAAGACAACACTTCCAAAGAATCCAGTGTCTCCAATCTTAAAGATGTATCATGAATTTCTCATTTAAATTTCGAATATTAAAAAAATTAATTTTTCAATTTTTTTAATATATAAATTTTTTCTTAATATATAAATTTTTTTCAAATTATTTAATCTATTAATTGATTCATGCATTGCCTCTGACTTCACACAAGTGTGCAAAATTTCAGATCAATTAGACAGGTAAAAGTGTGTCAAATATCAGTTATAAGATTTGTCGCTGACAAAATTATTTTTTCAATTTTTTTAATAATGAAAAAAATTTTTTTTTACTTCTTAAAATCATTTATTTTGACATTTGATTCATGCATTGTCTCCAACTTTAAACAAGTATGCAAAATTTCAGATCGATAGGATAAGTAGAAGTGTGTTAAATTTCGATTACAAGATTTGTAGCAGACAGACAGACAAACAGACAAACAAGAAGTGAAGTTGAAGAGAAGTGTTGTAATAAAAATGATCAGGATTCAACGAGTTACAATTTTTGATAGATGTCAAAATATATGGAACGCATCTCATCTTGTAGTGTGATAATGCACGAAAATAAATACAAAGTAAGTCAATTTCAAAAACGCATTCTGTTAACAGCTGGAAAAATCGAGTCAGAATCGTTAGCAATTTCCGACGTGCATCAAAAATCAAATAAAATCTGACAAGCTGCACAGCGACTCACTTGCACCGCTCATTCCAGACATCCTTGTAGAGCGCGGCCAGTCGTGTGTCATGAATAGCATTGAACTCATTGTTACCAACGCTGGAGAGCACGACTCACTTGCACCGCTCATTCCAGACATCCTTGTAGAGCGCGGCCAGTCGTGTGTCCTCCCACTTCTTGACCAGTCCTGCCCTCAATGTGTAGAACAGCGCCGCCACCAGCAGGAAGCTGTAGGGCACCCAGCGGTAGAAGAGCAGATATCGCCGATGCTTATTTTCCACCTGCAAATAAAACTATGATTTATATGTCAGCAATATTATTCGTAATAGTTCTATATTTTTACCATTTACACATATAGTAGCTTATATATTATTTTTACTTGTAGGTAGCAATATTATTTATAATACTTTTACATTTCGTAGCAGCTTAAGTATCCATTTAACTTGTAAGTTACCTAAACCATATTTCTGCCCTGCAGTGTTCTTTCTACTGGATATATAATTTAAGGATAGATGCAAGCATAGTTTTAAAACACATGTTTAATATAGGGATGACAAAAATCAGTTCTTTACATTATTTATACTACAAGCTGAGCATACAGGTACAACGTTTACAAGTTTTGTTTATCGAATAAGATAGCAAACATTATAGGTTCTAAAGGCCATCAAGCTAAAGCCTTTGCAGTACCTATATATCCATACTACACTACATGCTATAAAGTATAAACGATTGATGTCCATTTGTGAGCTGGTAAATTTCGTTGAAGATACCAACATTCAATGGGCTGTAATGGTTTTGGCCCTGTACCAAGCCAATTAACAAGAAGTATTCTGTTTTTGCACCCTAGTTGTCTATCTATGGAAATTTTTACTGCAGCTGAAGAGCCAAACATCAATACAAAGGAACCTGTCACTCTTAATTCCTCACAAAATTTTTTCACAGATTACCAATGATTCGTTCCAAGATTCTTTGACAGATAACAAGACGAGGAAAAAAAATTTCTAGCATCAACGAATCACAGAGCAAGGTTGGTGATTTTTTTTTATTTTGTGTAAAAAAATAGAAAACCAATGATTTTTGTATTTTTCACGAATTTTTTTCATTTATTTGATTTTTTCAGCTTTTTTGTCTTTTTGAAATGTTATTTTTTATATTGCAATTAGCCTACTAACAATAACAGTATATGGATGGATAAAAGGGGCAGTTATTGCCTTCAAGAATGGCCAAGGTGGTGTTTACCACTTTGGGACTTTTGGGTAAACAATTATTGATAAGTCTATTCATTAGCTTTATAAAGTTTGTATGGAGCAAGGTAACGAGCTAAATATTGACCATTTAACTGGCTTCAATATACAACAACACTTCAGGAATGCGGATCTTCTTAACAATGAAGAGTCACATAACAGATAGGTAGCTGATAGCACAGTCAATATATCATTAGATCTACTAGTTATATGTCTTATAAATCTACCAGACTCTACCCTCTAAACACACCGACTAGTAGTCACTGAGTGACTGACTGCACTGTTCCCATTTGATTCAGACTAATAAACCAATACTAAACATAAACCAAACGACAACCAAACAAACCTCAAATGACTTGAAACAAGACTTATGTCATGAGAAAAGCTAACACTGTTTGAAATAAACATGTACACAACTCAAACATTTTTTTCCATTCACTGCATTTGATTATTTAATTGTAGTTTTATAATTGTAATTGTTTTGTTTCTAGGTATAAATTCAAATATTTAAAGATTGAAAATAAATAGTTTAATTAAAATACTCATATTAGGGTGGAAAATCTTTCAAAACAATCTCAACCAACCCTTCTTATATAAGCTAGCTAACACATGTAAATTGTATAATTTTATTAATATATAACAAATAGTCAAGTAGTTAGTTAAAGACTACTTACAGCCTTATAAGAATTAGCTAAGCTGTTAGCTATGTACAATGTATTGCAACACTTGATGCCTCTGTACCAAAAACATACAATTCATTGGAATGTAATACACACTAAAGGCAACATGTTTTTATTCCAAGTTGTCATAGTACATTTATTCTAAACCATGAATCAAAATATATTAAAGACTGCCACTCAATATATTTAAATATTTAAAAAATCAAAAAAATAAAAATCGTGATTTTTTATAAAAAATCAAATGATTTTATCACATGATTTAATCAGTTTAATTTAATCATTGCCAACCCTGTCACAGAGGGTAGCAGAGTGTGTGGAATTCAACTTGATCAGCCAAATATAGAACTTCTTGACCCCAACTTCTTACATTCTTGAGAAGTGAACAGCATTTTAAGTGTCCAGCAATTCATAAAAAGTCCACATGAGTCAGGCATGAACCCAACTAAATAATTAAGTGAATACTCCCTATTATGATAACATTCATTGGCCGTTCATATTTTTTGAACATGTTGGCACCATCTAGGTTCTAGGATACAAGCTTTACAAAGCAACACCTTTTAGTTTATGCTAGCATATTCCTTCTCAAAATTATAACACTATAAGCACTATACAGAAATTAGTATGAAGAACCACTTGCACGCACAACCAAGATTCAAGAACCATCAAAAGGTTCAATTGCAGCATGGTACTGTAAATCTTGTACATTTATTGGACCCATGACATACCAAAAACATCAGTCATAACAAAATTAATCTTACACGATTTGAAACATTGACTCGCGGTGAATTTCAAATCATGACCATTATATCCATTGATATCAGTCCATCAATAGCATCCATTACAGACTCATCATATACTATACCGTAAAATGGGGTAACTTAGACCGGCGGGGTAACTTAGACCATTTTTCGTTTTTTTAACAAAAATCCCCACAACTCAAAAACTATTTGACATAGAAAAATTTTGTCAATGGGCATTAAAGGCCTAATACTGAGGCTACATAACACAATAGAAAAATTTGAAAAGTTTGCATATCTAATAGGTTAAAAAATTAAAAATGTGACCCACGAAAAAAAGCTATTATTTATAGCCTGTCAGAGTACCCCCTCCAATTTTTTTATTTTTTGGTTAAATAACTCCAGGTTTTGATGCATTGTAGTAGAACTCTTCTAGTTACATATGCAAATGCCTAATTTTAGGAAAGTGGCATAGTTTGCAAATGGGAGGCGCTGCCCCCAAATGGGGTAACTTAGACCACCTAATGTCAGCCCTGATGGGGTAACATAGACCGGCTTGGAAGTTAATATAAAATTACCATATATAACATATTTTATGTTTGACAGCCTATTTATGTTTTTTCTTTATGTTTCAGACTCTACAGAGTCTTATATATGGTAATTTTAACTTAATTTCCAAGCCAGTCAATATTACCCCATCAGGGCTGCCATTAGGTAGTCACATTTCCCTCATTATGGGGCGGCGCCCCCCATTTGCAAACTATGACACTTTCCTCAAGTTTGTCATTTGCATATGTAACTAGAAGAGTTCTACTACAATGCACCAAAACCTGGAGTTATTTTACCAAAAAATTTAATTGATTTTACCACCCGGTCTAAGTTACCCCAAGAGCTGGGGTAACAAAGACCACCACTTTTTTTGAAATTACATCAAAACAATGAGAGGCAGGAGCCAGCAATTTATGGTGAGTGAAGCTAGAGTATAGACCTGTATTTAGCATGTTTCAATTCAAGTTTACTTTAGCTAGTAAAAAAATGGCATCATTTATAAAAATAAAAGTGGTCTAAGTTACCCCATTTTACGGTAACCTTGTAAAGTGGCCAACAGAAAAAATATCAGTACAGAAGAATTATTGAACTATCACAACCAAGTATTGCGAGTAATTGTGCAATAAGAATTCCCTGGCAATAGCAATGAATTGCATGACCTTACCTCAACATATGGATATGATAGGCACACATTGCTGGAATGTCCTTTAGGTATATGTGGCTTATCAGGCCATTGAAGCTCGTAGCACACTATTTTTTCATTCACAAACCAGTTCAACCTGCATAGAAAAAACACATAATTAGCAAAAAATGTACTCATTTTCAAGACAACCAGGAAACAATGCTGGGGCACAATTTGAGTTTCCTATCATGAAAATCTCATCACACATTAATAACAAGAAGAGAAGCATAAATTTCAAAAATATCATCTCATAGGTAAGAAGTAGGAACCAATAAATTGAAGTCTGCCTACTTACAACACTATGTTGTGGACAACACAATAGAGAAGCAGATGCAGATATGTTATGATCATTCTACTGACATCAAAATGAAGTGACAGATGCAGATGTACTGATCTGTGCTTGCCACTAAGAAATTGTTGACAATAGTTACTGCACTCATGTCACAAATAAATGCCAGACAGTATAATTACTATATGCATATCAAAATTGAGTAGCAGTTACAATAGTTACTATGCATAGTACACACATCACAAAGAAATAACAGACACAAAATATAATCCCTATACTAGCATCGCAACAGAATAGCAAATATGTTATAATCAAAGTACTTGCCTTTCAATGAAGTAGAATCATTTTAATCAACATACTTCCGTTTCAATGGAGTAATACCAGCAGACATTATAATCACTGTACTCACATCACAATGAAGTAGCAGATGCCAAAGAAGAACACCAGGAACCTGTAATGGAACTGCAGGCACAGGGACTCGAGAGTGTAGCCGGGACCGTTGCTGCGCTTCAGCAGCCCAATGCTGTAGCACAGATGCTTTGCTTGCTGATAAAATGCATCCCACTTCAGGTCTCCTCCACCTTTTTTGTTATTATTATTATTATTATTATTATTATCATTGTTTTTGCTATTATTATTGTTGTTGTTGTTATTGTTATTATTATTACTATTATTATTATTGTGATTGTTGTTTTGGGTCCCCTTTCTATTGTTGTTACCTCCTTTATTGTTGTTGTTATTGTTGTGGTTTGGGTTCCATTTTGTATTATTACTTCCTTTATTATTGTTGTTATTCTTATTGTTGTTTCCACCTTTGTCCTGATTACTTGCACAGAGATTCTTGCTATTGTTGTCATCATTTTTATTGAAGAAGCCACCTTCATTGATGTCGTCATCAGCATTGCTTTGATCAGATAAGTGAGCACTGGAAGTGAGAAGAACCCAAGTTTTAAAATGTGCAGGGTTAGCACCTGCTCCCATGCAGAGTATCATTGTGGGAGTAGGTGCACACAAACTGCTATACTTGATATTTAGTAATATAAATTACACAATGTACTCTGTTACTTATCAAAGGACTGTACCAATGGAATATAGCCAGTTTATTGTTCATTTATTTCAAAAGTTTCTTAATTTTATAATATTGACTCATCAGTTTATTTGTAAAATGATGTTCCAGCTGGCACACAGATTTCATCAAAGAAATTTGATTAATATATTTTAGAAAATCATACTCATACCCTAAAAAGTCAAGCCATACCTGAATTTCAATCTCTTTCAATAAAAATATAAAACTAATGCATCCAGTTGTTCTAATTCAAATCAAATATCTTCAATTTGTCACAGAGACACAAAGGCCAATGGAGTGTTCCAGTACTTACTCATTTGAGTCATCATGGTCTGTGGACTGGTCGCAAGTAGAAGGACCAGCTTCATTTGAATTTCCTTCTTCAATTTCATGACCTTCCTCTGAATATGTCAGTGCAGCCCCAAACTCAGGAATGTTTTCATCTTCATTGTTATTTTGACACTTGGAAAAATTCTTTCCCATTTCACTGCTTGACTTGTTGTTACTGAAGGTTACAGAGAGGCCACCTCTTCTTTGTCCTCTATTGTTCCGATTTTTACCTCTCTTACCCCGAGAGTTACCTTGACAAACATTATTCCAACTCCTAGTGCTTTTCTTCTCAAGTGAGTCATGGGAGAATTTGAGACTAACTGGAAGAGGTGGAACTGGCTGGACAGCAGTTACAAGACAAACAGTATCAAGGCTTTCCCCAGAGCAAGGGGAATTTTGATCATTCTTGCTGCCTTTACTGCCATCTTCAGTAGTGGACTTTGAAGGCTCAATCTCCAGTTTCTTCACAGACTCTCCCAGCAACAAAGTATTATTGGTATCAGTTGACAAGATAGTCACACATCCTTTATCAGTGTGATTTGAATCAGCAGCAGCTTGTGCGAGTGGTTCAAGGGTTGTTACACAGTCCATGGCAGTATTCAATGTACAGTCTTGCAGCTTTCTTTTTCTTGGAACTGGAACTGGAGCATTTGCAGTCATAAGACTTTCATTAGCAAGTACAGGCTTAGGATTATCTGAAGTATAAATAGCAGGATCCAAATGAATTTGCACTACATCCTCATCTACAGTTTCTAGTGGACTAATATGATGGTCAGATTCAACATTCAGCGAGTCACTTCCACATTGTATGGTACATGGGTTTGAATAAGGCAGAGAATGTGTAGAGGATGTTTGAACTTGAAGGACATTAGCTGTGGTTTGGGTTTCTTTGGTATCTAGCAAAATTTCTTCTGGAACTTTTTTGCAGCATGCCTTTTCCACAGCAGAAAAAAAGATTGGGTGGAAGGCAATTTCTGATAATTTTTCTTCTGTCTCAGCTATGGACTGACATTCAAAATAAAGATCACAGTTAGAACCACCATATGATGTACATGAACTTTTCAAATTGGAAACTTGCAGACTATTGTCAGTCTGACAACTTTTTTCCAAATTTACTTTTTCACTTCCATTATTAACATAAGATTTGTTACAGTTTAGAATATCACTCATATTATGCTGTATTATAGAAGCATTAACAGGGGAGCTTAAAGGCCAGGCCATACTAATCTATGAATGAGTTATCCAAAAAGGTTTAAAACCTTGATTAAACTCATATCTGCAACAGATAAAAGAAATATTTGTGCCTGAATGAAAATTTGGCAAAAAACATCATTGACTCAGACAAAACCATTTATGGATGCAAAAAATCATGAAATTACACATTTCTGCATCATTTCAACAACCACTTGTAATACAATAATTTTGTACAACAGTTGTATATAAATCTTCTGGATATTCAAACTGCAGATCTTCACTACCACTTTACCTGATTGGTAGCCATTTTGCTAAATTTCTGTAAGATGAAGAGACCAACTGCACAACTTCAACAAATAACCTGGAAAATTAGGTAGTTAACATGACATAATCCATATGCAGGAAAACATATAAAAATACATGTATGCAGAAATTGAAATCTTCTAAACCAGTACAAAAAATATCAGAAATTATATGATATGTTCGGTCACATTTATGTTTAAAAATTTTGCATATTGGATTAAATCACAACAGAAGAATTTATTTACGGGGACCGTTTTGGCCTTTTGAAAACTTTTTCATTTGCAAACGAATCATTTTGAAACTTGCTACACATATGTAAAACAGAAATCTAAGAACTTTTTGTTCATGTAAATTTTTCGAAAAAAAAAATAAAAGAAAATGTGCAATTGATAGAACACGGCAAAAAAAGGGCACTTTAAAAATCTATCTCCTCCTGCAAATATCGTGCTACAACATCGAGACACATATCATTCGATTGGTAACAACCATATTTAAAATCCATCCTGTAAATTTTTTTAATTTCAAATTTGTTCGGGAGGAGGGCAGGATTTTCCAAAAAATTTCAAAATTTTTCCCCCTCCCGCCCCCCCCCCTTCTGGCAAAATATAATCCAAACTATAATGAAATCGAAAAAAATGACCGGATGGTTTCAAAAGATTTTATTTACAAATCAAATGGTATATGTATCATCGCTGTAGCTTCAAAACTCTAGGGGGAGATAGGTTTTCCATGACAATAACTGTGAATGTTCCGGAGAGTGCAACAAAGTCCCACCCGCATCGCAATAGGCACTCAATGTAGCAAGGATACAGAACTAAACGTTTCTGGAGCATGATTCCACTCAAGGATGGTGGGAGTGACTACATGCGCACCTCCTCAAACAATGTCAGGCAGGTTACTGAGCTGCACCTCAAGCAAACACTATATTTATAGTGCTGGGCAGCGAATTAGCTCCCATCTAATTTGTTAAAGAACTCCCTCCCCCTTTCTTGATCTGTCAACGTCGTCAACGCATAAATCAACATATAGAGATGTTAATTGTACTGTTGGATAGGGTAAAATGTCAGCTTTAAGATGAGACTTAACGGGTAACTACAGCGCAACTCAAGTAGACACTATATTTAAAGTGCTCAGCAGCTAATTAACTCCTATCTAATTTGTTAAAGAACTCCCCCACCCACCCCCCTTTCATGATCTGTTGTAAAAGCATAAATCAACGTACAGAGATAGCAATGGTACCGTTGGATAAGGCAGAATGTCAGCTTTAAGATGAGACTAAAAACCGGAAAAACCAAAATTTTCCATTTTTGACCGAAACGGTCTCCTTAAGAAAGTTGGTTGCATTGGTTGCTAGAAAAAAAGGCTCCCAGTAGAAATACGTGTTAAGCAGTAAGTACACCAAAACAATTTTTGGTACTGTAAAATGGGCTAACTTTGACCACTTTTTTATTCAAAATGATGCCATTTTTTTACTAGATAAGTTAAACTTAAATTGAAACATGCAAAATACAGGTCTATACTCTAGCTTCACTCACCATAAATTGCTGGCTCCTGCCTCTCATAGTTTTGATGTAATTCCAAAAAAAAGTGATGGTCTTTGTTACCCCAGCTCTTGGGGTTTCTTCGACCGGGTGGTAAAATCAATTTTATTTTATGGTAAAATAACTCCAAATAACTCCAGGTTTTGGTGCATTGTAGTAGAACTCTTCTAGTTACATATGCAAATGACAAATTTCAGGAAAGTGTCATAGTTTGCAAATTAGGGGCGCCACCCCCCAATGGGCGAAATGTGACCACCTTATGGTAGCTGTGACGGGGTAACATTGACCGGTTTTCGAAATTAAGTTAAAATTACCATAAATAAGACTTTGTAGAGTCTGAAACATAAAGAAAAAACATTAATAGGTGTATCAAACATAAAATATGTTATATAGGTACCTATGGTAATTTTAACTTAATTTCCAAGCCAGTCAATGTTACCCTGTCAAGGCTGCCATTAGGTGGTCAAAGTTCCCTCATTGGGGGGCGGCGCCCCCCATTTGCAAACTATGACACTTTCCTAAAATTTGTCATTTGCATATGTAACTAGAAGAGTTCTACTACAATGCATCAAAACCTGGAGTTATTTTACCAAAAAATAAAAAATTGGAGGGGGTACTCTGACAGGCTTTAAATAATAGCTCTTTTTTGTGGGTCACATTATTAATTTTTTCAACCTATTAGATATGCAAACTTTTAAAATCTTTCTATTGTGTTACGTAGCCTCAGTATTAGGCCTTTGATGGCCATTGACAAAAATTTTCTATGTCAAATAGTTTGAGTTTTGGGGGTTTTTGTTAAAAAAACAAAAAGTGGTCAAAGTTACCCCACCGGTCAAAGTAACCCCATTTTACAGTAATCCAAATTTAGGCATACACATTAAAATTAAAGCAATGAATGGGGAAACTACCTAACTACATACAATTCAATTCTTCATCAAGTAACCTTGAATAAACAAATAGATGTTGGCCCTTCCAAAGAATAAAGAATGCAGCAATGGCATCGAATTTGATGTTCAAGTCAAAACTTTGATTTCAGTGTTTATATAAAAAAATTTTAGAAAGTATCCTTAACACAAACTCAGTCTTGGGGTCATGGCAAGCTTTTTGGGAGATTTTAAGCAACCATCTATAGTGACTTGCCTATACAACTAAAAGAGATAAATAGTAAAAACAATAATTTGAATACATATTTCCAGTGGTTTTAGCAAACAATTATTGCATGTTAATAAGAGTAAAAACTAAAATATGCTTACTTCAAAACATGAAAAGAACTTGGATGGCATGGATGCCATCTTTATAGCAGCAGGATTACTTTATAGTTTAGCCATAAGGATAACTTATCTCTCCTTTTAGGACTTTCCTTGTTGAACCTCAAAATTTGAAAATTACAGCAAATAAAATGTATAAAAAAAAATTTAAAGACCACGTTTTTCATGTGGACTAAAAAGTAGAAAATAATTTTTAGGCAGCTACTGATCTCTGTTTGGTTTCATTCTCTTGGTCTTTTGTATTTCAGTTAAAATATTTTACAACATCTAAAACGAAAAACGTGGGGCGCATATGTATTTAATTGTTTGGTGATTACTTGATATGATGAATATTAATTCGAAATAGTGGTTGAATTCAAAATTGAAATTAAGGCATGCCTAAATGAAGATGCGCCCCACGTTTTTCGTTTTAGATGTTGTAAAATATTTCAACTGAAATACAAAAAACCAAGAGAATGAAAGCAAACAGAGATCAGTAGCTGCTGAAAAATTATTTTCTACTTTTTAGTCCACATGAAAAATGTGGTCTTCAACATTTTCTTTTATACATTTTATTTTCTACTTTTTAGTTTTAGGTTAGGCCTAGTTTGTATGCTTGTGCTGATCAAATCTTGCAATCAATTTCCTTGCATCTTGCAATTTCCTTTTTATAAAGAATGAGAACAACACAAATTTTCTAAGTACTTATAACTACAGTACTGGTCAACTAAATACTTAACTTAAACTTGATCATTACAAACAAAGGACCTGGAAAATTTTCAAAAAATCAATTAAATAAAATAAAAATGAAAATATATATCAAACACAAGACATCCAAATAATTCTACCTATAACAAATCTAATGTACTTTGCAATTGAAACAATTTGCCACTTTTGATCCTCCTTTTCATTTATAGCTAGTCAGTCACCTGGCGGCTGGCAGAGCACTGTAACAAAGAAAAGCTAAATATAAAGCTTTTCACCTTGGGTGGAAAGCTTTTTTATACCTAAGTGAACTTCTATTCTTAGAATTCCAGCCTGACTACAATCATGTACAATGTTAGCCTATGTTAGCCCAATGTTAGCCTATCAACAGGCCACACCGCCACACACAGCCTCAGCCCTCACAGGCTGTAAAAGATCAGTTTCAAAAACTGTAACTGTTAGCAAAAACTTACTGCTCGTGAAGAAAGTGACAACCAATAATTATAAGTTAAACGTAGGATAGGTATGTGCAAAAATTTGTCGTTCTCCAAAATTAGGTAGGCCTATTTATTACGTTTATACCAATAAAAGGCAAAAAATATACTTAGGTAGATTTAAATATTGATGGAATATCAACAAAAAAAAACAGAAATTATTAAAAAAATTCAATTTATTTCCGCTAAAGTTGGTCCAGAAAGAAAGTGTAGGTACCAAGGGCAAGAGTTAGCATTCACGTGGCCCATCAGTCATCACCATCTTGTATTATAATCCAATCCAAAGTAAATAATTTTCAAAGAACAAGCAACTTCACAGAGTCATAAACTACGATAAAATAATCATTTAAATTTTATACCTATTAGGTAAAGTAAAATAATTTTGGTTGCAAACTTGCAATATAAACACAGAAATGCGATTGTATCTATGACTATGACTTCACTCAGAATTTGATCGACTCGAACTAGTGGCGTCTGAACTCTGACGTGGCGTGAAACATGGCTTACCGGTAGCGTGCTAGCGATTGTCTCATTATTGCAGTTAGCGCCCGCTTAGCGGCTTTTGCAAGATGTCATACATTGAGTGGCTTTTTGCCGAACCATTAAATTTGAAGATCGCGCATAAAGAACTATCGTCTCATTTGTCATCCATGTTTCGTTAATCCACAAAGACAAATAAATCTTACTTAATCAGTCTTAATGCACTTTTTGGCAAATGGCAACACTCGCGAAGTCGCGATACGTTTTGCCGATAATATTGTTTCAAGTTCTAAATGACAATTCTACGGACCTGCCAGCGGACTCGCGCAACTGGGACACTCATAATTCTTTAAATACTTAACGGATCTGTATTAATTTTGGAATGTGAGTATTAATTATCGATACGCTGCGGCAGATTATTACAGATTTTTACATGAATTATTTTTTAATTAAAACCAATAAACGTATTTTTAAAGCAACTGTGACACTCATAATTCCTTCAATATTTAACTGATCTGTATGAATTTTGGAATGTGAGTATTAATTATCGATACGCTGCCGCAGGAATTATTACAGATTTTTACATTAATTATTTTTTAATTAAAACCAATAAACGTTAATTCCTTCAATACTTAACGGATCCGCTCGAATTTTGGAATGTGAGTATTAATTATCGATACGCTGCCGCAGGAATTATTACAGATTTTTACATGAATTATTTCCTAACCTAACCTAACCTAATAATAAGTCATGTAAAAATCTGTAATAATTCCTGCGGCAGCGTATCGATAATTTATACTCACATTCAAAAATTCATACAGATCTGTTAAGCATTGAAGGAATTAAGAGTGTCCCAGTTGCTTAAAAAATACATTTATTGGTTTTAATTAAAAAATAATCCATGTAAAAATCTGTAATAATTCCTGCGGCAGCGTATCGATAATTAATACTAACATTCCAAAATTCATACAGATTCGTTAAGTATTGAAGGAATTATGAGTGTCCCAGTTGCGCGAGTCCGCAGGCACGTTCGCAGGCGGGTCCGTAGAATTGTCGATTGAGTATCTTCTACTCTTCTTTCACACCTGAAACCATTCTGCTCCTCACCAAGTACTCTTTCTTGCTCAATACATATTTGCATTCGCTCATTCAAAACTGCACAGAAAATCTGGCTATATGTGTCAGCAGGAGCAATTGGCCTGTAGTTTTTCAGCTCCCTCGTGTTCTTGTGGCCTCCCTTTCGCAACAAGGTCACTCGACTTTCATTCCATGCCTCAGGTACACATTCATTTGTCTAAACAACATTAAATAGATCAGTCAGTCTGCCAATTGTACTCCCACTTCCATACTTATACCTACATCTCATGCCGCATACGGTATCTCATCCATTCCAGCTGCCTTATTATCCTTCAGTCACTCTACCACCCATTTCACTTCCACATTTGTAATTTCCCCATCTATACCACTCAGGTCTTTATGTCCCAGTGAGATGACATTTTCACCTGGCATAAATTCCTCATTCACTTCACCTATGTCTTCCAGAATTCTTTCACAACTTCAGCCAGTCATGTTCTCTCAGTCACATACACTCCTTCTACTTTCAGCCCATCCACTCTAAAATCTTTGTCCCTATTGTCACCTCTCAGGAAGGCATACCATTCGCGTCCAGCTCTTTGTCCATTCATATTAAATTTTTTCATCCTAGTTCGCTCATACTCCACAATATGGTTTCTAATGATAATTTTTCTCCTCTCTTGTTCATCCTACTTTAGCCATGCTTCCTGATATTCCTACTCACATTCCTCACTCCCATAACCCCTAGCTTCTCCGCAGTCGCCTACAAATTTAATAAAATCATTTACATTCTGTTCATGCCACTGTCACATCATTTCTCCATCATTTTTCATTCTTTCTTCGATTTTTGCATACATTCTCATTGGTCCTTGCGCAAGTGACCTTGGCAGCTTCATTCATACATTTCGTAAGTTGTTCATTCATCTCATTCAAATTATTTATAACTTACCATTTTTTATCATTAAGTTTCGCATATAAAATTATCCCAGTCTACATCTTTCACTCGCCACTTACATTTGTTTTTCAAGCTCTCTCACATTTATATCAGGCATTTTCGACTCGGTAATAAGCATATTATGATCACTTCTGATTGACCAGCGTCATCAACCCTCCGCATATCGCTTTTCTTCTTGCATTCTCATTCAGTAAACTATAGTCAATTGCTGAACAGTTTTCTTAATTGCTCTAGATCACTTTTTCCTCAGCCAAGGTAGCATTTAGGTTTTCAAGTTCATTTTCAAGCACAAACTCATTCAGAAGCTCCCCATTCTTGTTCACAGGCCCTCCTAGTATACCCACATGTCTATTTATTTCCCTCATTAGCCGCGTCACCGTCGGAGGTATAGGCGCCCCTGTCCTGCGCTCTTCTGATTGCACGGAATTTAAGTTGGGCATGTAGGGAGTTGAAGGATTTAGTAGTCACGTTGGCATTGGGTATAAGGGCTGCGATTGTGAGAGAGTAATGTACGCTACAGGGAAGAAAAAATTCATACAGTAGTTGACTTGGATAGCATTGATTGGACCCTCTCTTTTTAAAGTAATTTAAATAGCTTATTCATGTCGAGTCGAGACGATGTCGAGACGAGCAAAAGAATTTGTTTAATATGCTCCGTAAGAATGGCAGGCTCTTGATATGCCTCATCCCAAAACTGTAAGCTTCTTTCATCAATGTGGAAATCTCTGCAAGAAAAAGTTTTTGTATGATTACATGTTATATTACACGTTATAGTAAACGTTATATCACACGTTATGTTAAACAAAAGCGGCAAAAAGTCTGTTATAATTTCACGAGTTCCTATCAGTTCAGCCGTTTCTAAAATAGAATTACTATTCATAACTTGGAGTCAGCGCATAAGACTTGACCTAGCTTGAGAAGGCACTCGACCTCTTCGGTGATTATCGTAGAGAAGCACCTGCGTATTATTGTTGGCTAGTGTGCAGAGTCAGATTTGTGGATTTATGGTGTGTATAGGGGTTTAACTGGGCGTGCTTTGCGTAGGCATGAGATGCTGTTATTGTACAGTTTGAACTTTGAAGTATCAGTAGACTGTTGGATATTCAAGTAGAAAAGGATGAAAGAAGAAGGCGCATAGGTCCTTTCATAGGAGAGTTAGTGGCTTTGAAGGTTCTAGATGAGCCCCATTTCTAGCTGGGCTTGGGGCCTGGTCGTGTGAGATTGGGGTTTGTGCATTTTGGGCGTGGGGAAGATTTTCGTTGATATAACATTTACGAGAGTGGGTGCTTTTTGTGGGAGCTGGTTTAGATGGTTGTTTTAGGGTGTTGCTGCCATGACTGTGTTGCTTTACCTTCATTTCGTAGGATTGATGGTGGTGATGGATTGGCTGTTTAGGCCCGTACTCCGGCTCTTAGTACGCTGAGTCTCTTGTCTGCAGTGAGACGGCATGTGCAAACCTCGGCCACAGGCGTTTAGGGCACTTGCGTCATGAGGGCCTTTGCAGTTCAGCAGGACTATTTAGGTTTATTTTGGCAGAGGCTGGTTAGCATGCAGCATCAGGAGCCGGTTGTACTGTATATAGCGGAGTTGTCCAAAATTGAAAAATTCTGGTCCTTAAAGCTGGTTGTTCAGTTGGTGTTTTTCTGGTCGGTGCATGGTCTCGCTCTTCTTAAAGATTGCATCGTGTCCTCTTCGCTGTCTGACAAGACCATACCTATTAGGAAGTCTTTGTCCTTTTTGTCTATAGTTTGGTTGTATTCAGTGGAGTCATTTCATCTGGTTCTGCTTGTTGTATATATTGCAGCTGACATAAGGCCTGCAGCTGCAATTTTCTGGGAGTTAGCTGTCTTAGCTAACTCCCAGAAAATTGCAGCCAGAAAATACCTTTCTTCATTTATGTCCTTGAGTTGATAACGGTGTTTGTTCATCCAGTTTCTTGTTGCCTTTGTGTTTTCATAGGATGTTGGTTGCCTTAAGTCTCGAGCTCGTTGTCGTTGTTTGCGCTGACGCTCAAGTTCGCACGGGGAGCGACTCGGGTGGTGGAGGGGGGAGGGCGACCGGATTGGGCTGGAGGTGAGTGAAGATAGGGAGGATAATCTCCGGCAGGCGTCCCGCCAGAAAAGTCGCTGTCTCCATGGGCTGTCCAACAGTGAGGAGAAGCGAGGCTGTAGGAAAAGAAGAACAGTCGATAAGATGCTGCGTGGACCGAAGGGGACCCCCACTCAGAAGGACGCCTGTCGGAGACCACCACTGCCTTGCTTCGAATGGACTATCATGATCCCTTCCCTGAAGAACGCAGCCTACAACACTTCTTGACTGTAACATTATCGATGGAAAGGCTGGTGGTGCACGGCAGGATGCATGCAGTTCCACTGGCGACCTGGGCTGGTTGGTCGCAGTCCGTAGTCCGCAAGTTACAGTTCGAGCTATAAAGTCAGGGTATGAAGTGATGGTTCGATGCAACGTTCAGTGGTGGACAACCATTACTCTCTGGGCTATTCGCTTCAGAATATGGTGGCGTAAAACTCCTAATATTCAAAGCAAGATGGTGTCACGGGCTAGTTACCGACGGATGGCTTCATCCGCGGCTGATTGGTGGTCATCCGGAAATACGCTAGGCGTTCCTTTCAGGGCTGATTTGTACACAAATTTGGTGGTGCACGGCTGCGTACCCCCTCGGAGGCGACGGAAGCGGCTATCCTCAAGACCGAATTTGGACTGTCTGTAGGCTCGTTTCAGCGGAGCGGGAGACAACGGAGTATCAAATTAGATCTGCTTGGTTGATGAATGGGTGCGTAGTAGTTCTGTAGGTGCATGTAACGACATCATCCTTTGACAAGCCTCAGTTGGTCCCGGTTGGGGCTTTTAAGTTGCGCAGAGTTCCCGTGGCCCTACGTACGGTTCCTGTGGCTTTGCTGACTACGGTCTTAACTTTGGGGGGAAACGATGAAGTGAGTATCCCAAGTTACTCCTAGGATTTTGGGAGTTTTGTCAAGGGGGTGGGACAGTTAAAGATGGAGGGGAGGTGGACGGATGTATTGGTGGGCATTTGGAGTGAGAAGAGTGACGGAGGATTTGCCAGCGGCTACAGTCGGTTTTTTGGCGGCAGACCGGTCCGACACTCCCGCGAGAAACGCCGCCAGGTCCGACTTTGCAGCGCCGAGTCTCGTAAAAGTGACGAAGATGGTGAGATCGTTTATGTATGAAGCTTTCAGTCT